ATATATAAGATATCACGATAGTGTATTATTTTGTTTAATCTGAGTAGTTGTAAATCATGCAAAAAAATAGCACATGTAATACTGCCAATATAATAACCAGCAGCCCTGATTTTAGTGTCTCTTGAAGTAGACAGCTTTAAAATGCATTTTGTGTAAGGTGCCAAGAGTCCACACCACAGTTCAGGTTTCAAACTGGCTGTAAGCAACATTAGTGCGCTACCAGCATAAAAAAACATAATCAGCATTTGTAGGTAATTTACAAAAAAAACATAGCACATAGAAAGAAATACTAGACTCTCAGGCTGTAACCATACATTAATTCTCTTTCTTGTGGGGAAATTTACAAAATTGTACAAATGGTAGTCCTTACTTTCTAAGCTGTGCTACACTGTGTCTCTCTGCAGAGAAACATGCTCCAATGCTCCTAAGATTTAGGGCGATATTCACAAAGCTGCCAAAGGCCAAGTGAATAACCGAGCCAAAGTGAACAGAGCCGAACGACGTTTAGCTATGCACTTCAGCTCATTACGGTTGATTTCAGCCGTACATCGGCTGCCTTCGGTCAGCCGAACATGCTCTGTATGTTCGGCTGAGCCGAAGTGCAGACGGAGTTTGACTCAGCCGATCTGCCAAATGGCAGTGAATGCTGAATAGTCAAATGCCTCCAAGCGGCATTCGGCTCGGCTAATCTGCTCGCTACCTCCGAGGTAGCGAGAATGGAAACAAATAAAAAAAATAGACAAAAAAAAAAAGTGTGTGGGGTTCCCCCCTAAAGTCATACCAGGCCCTTAAGGTCCGGTAGGAATTTTAAGGAGGAAAATAGACGTAGGGTCCCCCCTTAAATTCCCAACCAGACCCTTGATCCGAGCACAGGCCTGGCAGGAAATGAGGGGGGCGAGCAAGTGCCCCCCCCTCCTTGCCATACCAGGCCACATGCCCTCGGCATGGGGAGGGTGCTTTTCCAGGGTCGCCCCTAGGAAAGCACCTTGTCCCTGTGCCGATGGGGACAAGGGTCCATTCCCCTCAAACCCTGGGGCGTTGGTTGTGGGGGTGCGGGGTTCTGATCATGCAAAGATTTTCCAGCCGGCAACTTCCATCAGCTGATCGAGGAATGCTGGCTGAAAGGGAGCCGACAGCCCCACACATTGTACAAATTTCGGCGGGTACATTAAAAACCGACCGAAATTCGACCAGTGTATGGGCACCTTAACATTGTACCTGGAAAATAGTGTCCACCCAATATTATGTGTGTACCTGAAGCAAGCTGGGAAGTATAGTTTACCTGGCACTAACAACATACCCTAAATATATTTACTTGTATTTATACATAGATCATAATCTGGTCATGGGTCATAAAGTCTTTCCAGGACTGACACCGTGCCTGGAACCTAGTCCAAGAGAGAGTAGCCAAATCAAATTGTCTATTCCTAAAAGTGTATGCGGAAAATGCTGTCAGTCGGAAACTCTATTTTTCTACCTGAAAGAAACCACTAATGGTGTACTTGGAACATACTGTCTACTTAGTACTCATACTGTACCCTGTAAATACTATCTACATTGTAGTAATACTGTCCCTGATACATTTAACAGAAAAAAATCATATAATGTTAAAATAAAATATTTTTGAATAGATAAAAATGATAAAAAAATATAACCTTCAAAATCGGCCAGGGTATGGCTCCACCTGTTTGTAAAATAAATCTGATGGGAACAATTAGATTTTCTCCTTGCACGAAATCCACAAGGGCCCTTTTGGAATTAATACTTCTTAACACTGTGCCTGTAAAAATGACATACTTATTACACAAGAAGAAAATTGAAAAGAGCATGAAAAGGATCAACCATAAAAGTCAAATATAGTCAAAAAAGAGTCCCCCTCTGCTCTTCCCCTTTCACTTGATTAAAAATAAAAAGGAAAACAGGATTTCAAGGTGGCCAGTCATGTGGTGAAAAGTCTAGGCATGTTGTCATGTGATCTATGCTGAAAGGGGAAGATCAGCCAACATAAACATCTTCCTCTTAGCTGAGACCAAGTGACCAACCACTGTGTGATCTCAGCTAGCTGTCTCTTAGCCAGCCAGGTGGATTCCGACAATATTGTCTGGATCCTTCCAGACTTCAGCGCGGCTCTGCGTTGTCAGCGTGTAGTGGGCAGTAGCTCGCTAAATGCTGACTTTGGGTCACAGGGGTACATTAGTAAATATACTCCTGGGACCCAAAAGGGAAGTAAAGCCTTTACTTATCTTTAATGGTGAGCAGGGTAGCTTTGGTTCTCAATTGACTATAGTTTTACTACATCCTGCATATTTTTAAATTAAGATTGAAATTAGTGATTTACATGTGACTTGGCTTTGACATACACAGTACATAATTAAGTTTTATAGTGAATAAGACATGATATTCAGGTACATTATATAACCTGTGCAAAGTCAAACTTCAATATAACAACAAGTCATATATGTTATATATAAATCCTAACATTTAGTTGCCAAGAATATTTTTGTTGATGCAGCAGCATTTAGGTTAATTGAAATACAGTTTTTGATATTCTCAAATGGAACAATGCCTGCCTGACTGATGAGATTAATTGGTTTGCCAACCTAGAGAAAATGTGCTTGCTTGAAGCAGCCAATTATGTTAATGGTACACTCCAGTCAAACATGAAACAGTTATATTTAGTCTCACTCTATGGCCTTAGTCTATCTGCCTAGTGGCTCTAATTTTAATACTGGCATCTTCTGCACATGACTGACCCACTCCGCAAAACAGTGTCTGATTTGAACTTTATGCACTGCTGCCAATGCAGTAGGAAGAATGTTGTTCAAAATGTAACACTTAGATTTGTTACAACACAACTGTATATCTGCATGTAAATACATGCTCCCCCTGGTTTTTAGGGTAGTGAGTTCTGTTCATTTTTCCCTCTCAAAATAACTGTTGATCTTAACCGATGTTGTCTGCCTTTTTAGCTATCTTCTGTTAACATTCAAATCACCCTCGGACAGAAAGTGTGTTACTGCCATTATACCAAATGAAAAAAAAAAGAAAAAAGCCACAATCAAGCAAACTAATGCAGACACCTAATCCAAGGATGGGTAAACTGCATTAAATAAAATTCTGTTGGCTTGGTCTTGGCTTTGGATACACTTTAGAAGGCAGTGTGCTGGGGCTGAAAAGTTGTTAGGTTGAAAATAGCGGTGGTCAAATAGTTGTGAGGGTTGTGAAATTTTGGGGACAGTATGGTTGTAAATTGCAATGGACATTAGGAGCTGAAACTGTTGTGGTGGGTAAAGAGGAGTTTCGGGTTCAGAGCTCTATATTCTTTGCTGATCTCATAGTTTCAAGGTTCAGCAAAACTCCAAATTTTTTGCTAAAAGGTCGTGCCTGAACCTTAATGCACTTGTTTTTCCTTGTCTCTGGTCAGATGGGTCCCTGAGAGCCAATTTGGTAGAAAACTGGATTGTCAGTTCTAACTATAAAAGGTTGGGCTCACAGCAGCCATGTTGTTAGTGTGTGTTGGAGCTGGCAATGGAAAGCTGAAAGGAAAGGAGAGATACTTAACTATACAGTGCTATACTTTAGATTTCAGTGTGATGAGCTACATAGCTCACCACACTACATAGTTACATGTCCTAATTGTACTTCTTAGGGCTATTTTTTTTAACTGTATCAGCAGTAAGTGTGCTTGTTTGAGAGCCTTTGTGCCACCCCATTGCAGTTTTTTTTCTTCATTTGTCATTTATTAGGGTTTTTTCTTTCATGTAATTTCTTTATATTTTATTTTCTTCTAGGGTTTTTTTGCTACGGTTCTTATTTTATATGGTTAGACCTTCAGAGTTTATAGGGCCCTTTTTAAGTTTGGGTTGTGCAGCATACATTTATTGCTGAACAGCTGTAGGAGCTGCCCTTTGTACACAGCACGCCATCGCCGCACTGCTGTGCAGTAACTAGTGTGCACCAAAAGTACTGCACTTTCACCCCCCTATCACCATGGCTTCAGAGGCTAGGGATTCCATCCACCTTACAAAGAATATTCTGTCAGACTAATGCACAGAATACACAACCTCCCCACCCCCCCCGAAAAAAAAAGATCAAAAACATCACACAATTGTGAAAATTCCCATTCTACAGTATGACAGTGATGTCACTGGTTGCCAGGAGCTGGGCCGGATGCCGGCAAGATGTTGCAGAGATCCCCCCCCCCTCCTTAATGTGCTCCACCCCCTACCTCAGGAGGCGAAAATGCTAGGGACACCCCTGATAGTAGTAGTGACAGTTAAGCTGCAAAATGTATTTAGTTAATTAAAAACAATATATTATACATCTTGTTTATGAAATGTTCATTGTTGGGCTTTTTGATAGGTAGACTATTTAGTACCTGAATAGTAAAATCCATCAACCTCAGACCTTGCAATGACTTTTTGACCTCGCAGTGCATCTAGTCGTTGTCTTTTCACTTTTTTCTCAGTCTTTTGCTTTTCATGCTCTTCCTTACTGGACTGCAAAAATAACAGGAATACATTTTAAAATGAATGGACTGATCTGTATTCAGTGTTGTCAGCATGGGTTGTCAGCGCCTGGGGCAAGGCAAGTATTGTGCCCCCTACCCCCCATGTTACATGAACAGGAAGTAATGTGTATCTCTTCCTGTCCATTCATAACTGGGGGACATAGTAAGCTTGTACGCATCACTGTAGTGTTTTCTCAGTACACAGAAGGATCAGCCAATATTTAACATATTGGCTGATCCTCCACTCGGAATCTTGAAGCTGCGCCCACCACACACATTCTCTGCTCCCCATCCTGACAGCCCCATTCGGCATCCTGACTGCTCCCGTTACTGCTCTCTCCTCCCCACGGCTCTCCTCCACCTGTATCCACAGAGGCATCAGGGATCCGAGGGGACACAGACCACAGCATGCAGCCGGCTCCCAGCGGGGAGGAGAGAGCTGTAGAGCAGTGACAGATTCCAACCCGAGCCCAGGCCTCCCTGCTGACCTGATGGGGCCCAGTACAGGATGGCCGGCTCCCCGCAGCGCCCCTAAAAGATTGGTGCCCGGGGCAACCCCCCTCCTGTCCCCCCACACCCGTCTGTATAATAATCCTAGCCATTGTGTAAGTCACATAATTAAACACCACAGAAGGCTTTACATTTCACCTACATTTTAAAAAGGTTTATAACATTAAACATTGACAATTTTGTTAGGTACCGATTATCTGTGCACCTAGTTCCGTGATCTCTTGGCTCTCAGGGCATTAGCTATTAATTACCTTAAATGATGCCTCTTGATCTGATCATCTTCTTCTTTCCAGTAGTTTTCAGGAGTCCTGCAGGTCTCTGATCCAGCGCTGTCTCCTCTCTCTTCCTGGCACTTCCTGTCCCGCAGAGTCTGTGCGGGTGCACGCTGCCTGCATTGACTTACCTTGCGTCTCTCCCCGTCTCCCAGCCAAAGATCTGTACTGCGCATGTGCCTGCCCCAAGATCCTGCGGCTGCCCGAGAATCTTTAGATCTTTGCAATGTTTTTGCATATATCTACTGCTTGCTAACAATAGATATATGCAAAAAAGCGACAGTTTAATTATCCTTTAACTCTGTCCAGGAGCGGGGTGTTAAGATCAGTTCTCCTTTTAGTCAGTTCCGCAAGGGTACCACTATCCGTTAATGCCTTATGGTGTAATACTAGGGATTTAGGTTTGTCGCATAGCCCATCAATTTGCTTGGCTCTATATTGTTTACAATTTGTTCCCAGGTTTAATGAGTATACCCCTAATATAACACTTATGTGCCTTCCACAAAGCAATAGGATTCTGGCTCTGTCGGTCATTGTCAATAAAGAATTGATTGAGTTCATGCTTTATTTCTGCTGCTATAGCTACATCTTGCAAAAGGGATTTATTGAGTCTCCATTCAGTCTGTCAGCGGACATCATCATCTAGCATGATAAACAGATGCATGAGTGGGCTGTTGTACCTATTAATATTTTGGTTATGTAAGGGAGTATTGCCTGTTGTAGAAGCGAAAAATGTATTCTGCAGTACGTCAGGCGGGAGATGGAAAAGTAGGTGTCCCTATCCTGCGGGTGAATGAGGTACCGGGCATCAATTACTTGGAGGGCAAATAGATATCTTGATATGTTTCCTTTGTGATAGTACCACCAATATGAATTGCCTCGATATGTCCAATCTGAAGACACCTCTCCCCCTCTAAAGATACATATGCAGCAAAAAAGGGAATTGGGGTTTAGTGAGATGTCATAATCATTGCACAAGTAAAATCATAAATGCATTTATTGTTACATAGTTTTACATGATAGCAGTATAAAAAAATATTCACCACATCATAAAAACATGATTGCCCCCATATTACCTTTGTGAGTCTGTAAGATAGGATGATCCCTTTAAGGTGTCTAGCTGTGGGTCTAGGACTAGATTGAAATCACCTCCCAATATACAGATGAACTCAACAAACTCTGCTAACCACATTAGACACATTTCTAGTCAATCTGACCTGTGTTAGGGGTGTATATAGTGGCTAGAGTGACTGTGTGGCCCTGTAGTACCCCTTACACAAAAAAGCATCCTACCACTGTTGTCCATATATTGTGCTGTGCATTTCCAAGGCAGCTCCTTGGCCAGGAGAATACTAACTCCTTTAGACTTGGAGTCTGTAGACGGGCCATGGTAAACCATGGCATATTGGTGGTTACCTAATTTAGAGATGCTATTCTCTCTGAAGTGTATTTCCTGGATAAATGCTATGTGTGAGCGTATTCTCCAGAGATCTCCCAGGAGGTAAGATTGTTTCTTAAGGATGTTCAGGCCCACTGTAAGTTTTTATTTTCTTTTAATGACCTTAAACCTAATGTTCAATCCCCTCTGTGATATTTTCAAGGTACATTTCACCAAAAATAGTGCATTCATCTATACAAACAAAGCAGCAGTTATTTAGAGTCACTGAGAACACAGAATGCGAATGATAGTCATTTATCATATACAGTAGTAGGACAATGAGGAATGACCTTGAAATATGCCTGTAGGAATGACTGAAGTTACTGTCATCTGTACTTTGTAAGAAACAATAGAAAGCATTATTAAAGTAATACAATGGATTCATGTTTTTTTTTCCTTTTAGAAAAGTAGGAAGCTTCTTAAAAGGTAAATTATGTAACAATTTCTCAAAGAGCTAAAAGTGCAACAACTGCAATAATATTTTGACAATATCCTAACAAATCTGCATTCAGGGCTTGTTCACACGCTCTCCAGTGTGTTGCAGCATGGTTAGTGGCCATACTGCATTGTATAATTAATGCCTCCTGCGCTCTGGGACGGGAGGGGGCTTAGTGGTACCATTCAAGTCAATGGCACCGCAGTCACGCCTCCCCCCCGCAGTGCGACCACCCGCACCAGAAGGAGTGGCACAGCAGTTTTGCATGCACTATTTTTTGCAATCGCACCACAGGCATTGCTGTGCCGTGTGTTCTGGTACGGGCAATTGCACTGCGGGGCGGGAGGCGTGTTTGCGGTGAGATTGACTTAAATGGCACCACCACGCCCGTCAAGCTCCAGAACACAGGAAGGCATCCAGTGCCTTCTGGCCACTAACCATGCTGAAACGCACTGGATGTGGTGTGAACTGGCCCTCAAATGGAATGCACCAATTTTTTATATAGTTGCCAAAGGATTGGTAAGTAGCTTTAAATCTGATTCAGTTAATGAAAAGCAGTGACTATCATCTGATCTGGCCAATAATGACAGCAGCAGATGACAATTTCCATTTTTCTAGATAATAGCAGACTGCCTTAGCCAATATTAGAGGGAACAGTGATTAGCCATATCAGACTCAGTAAGTCGTTATTGTTTGCTCTGGGGTTGAGGGTATTTCCTTTCTCTCCACCTTCTGTCATCTACAGTTATAAACAAGTAACCTTGGTTCATCTCAATCTGCATGTGTCCTCATAACCACTTGCTTACTTATATCTACTGCTTACCTTACAAGACATGTGCACTTGATATTATGTTACACGCAGTGGCGACTCTAGGAACAATATGTAGGGGGGGCACATAAGATACAACAGTCAAATCTGGGGGGGCACTAATAATTTTCATTGCATGCCGCAACCGCTGGGCACCGATGAGCTGATTTAATTGCGGATGGCATTGGCACCCCGCGGTTGTGACATGTAGTCCAACGCCGCCCACAATCCTGCATACCGCAACGGCCGGGCGCCGATGCCATCCGCAATTTAATCAGCTCTCGGCGTCCGGCAGTTGTGGAATACAGCATAGGCTGACTATACACAGTAGATGGTAACTTTTAGGGTTATGGTAATTGCCAAGGCTTAAATTTAGGAGTTACGTTAGGTGCTATGGTGAGGAAAACGTTTTAGAGTTTGGTTTCTTTTTAAAGGGTAAGGGTAAGGGTTTAAGCAGAGGAAGGGTTAAAGTGCTATTAAAGTCAAAATGTTAATAAAGCTATTTGAAACCTTGATTAAATCACTTAGAAATTGATACGTTTCCTTGATGTTTAAAAGTGTTAGTTTCCTGCAGAATCAGCTGGTCCCCTGAGCACTGGTCCTAATATCCTGTTTTAGGGTGGCTCCTTTCCCTTGCAGGGTCCTATGGAGCCGCCCTTGTGTGTACTAGTAAGTTGTGTGTGTCTCCACAAGCACACATGCATGAAAAGACAAGCCATTTCCCTTGTGATCTTGTACTGGAAAGCAAGATCACAAAAGTGGAGCTGAAGCAGTTGGATTCAGCTGTTTGGAAACATGATGTAAGTGCTTAGACAAAATGTAAAGAAATATATTGCTTGATAATGGATTTTTGAACTGGATTCCTTTTGGGGAAAAATTATGGAGAGTTTAATACTATTTTAGAGAAGAACTCCAGGATAGTTTTCATTAATCCTTGCAGTGGGGTTCGTTTTTGTCTGTGAGTAAAATAAGAAACATATACTCACCCGAAGCTCCAAGTCAGCCAGCTATCACAGCGCTCCCTTCAGCCTGTCTTCCCCTCCCTGCAGCACTGGAATCTTCCTCAGCTCACTGTGTATAGATGTGAGGATTTAAGGGACCTCAGACCGCTGCTGAGGAGAGGAAGAGACGTTGGAAGGACAGTTCTAAGAAGTTGGCTCAGAGCTTCGGGTGAGTATAACCATTTTTTTTTTTACCTAGACACAAACAAGCTCTTAACCCTTGCAGTGCAGTGGTAGCCCCATTGCAAGGGTTAATAAAAAAAATTCCTTGAGTTCTGTTTTAAGTGATAGGATCAGCAAGCCCATTAGGATCAAGTTAAAGGTTGGCTATATTTGAGAACAGTGTATATGTACTTGTTGATGTAATAATTTCATGTTTGCAATGTTTCTGTTCGTTTTCTTATTATGTACTTTCTATAGAGTTGTTATCTTACCTGTTCCTTTGAGTTATTCTTGCTAGCCTCTTGCAGATCTGTTGCTTGCTGAAGATACGTTTTCCCAGTCACAATTTCATCTTCCAGCAGCATAACGTCTTCAGCAGAGACAGGCCACCCAAGCCTATCTAGAGCCTGTAGCAGAGCCTCTTTATTTTCCAAGTATGATACTGGTACATCGCTGTCAAATCTAGAACAAAGATGAAACTTGTACACATTTTTGTACTCAAAAATTAGGGTACAAAGTTTACTATCCTCCATGAAAATAGTTTATATTATTAATTCTAAATGACTAGATTGACTATGCTTGCTTTTACGTTGTTCTTCACATGATTTTGCACCATAGTCCAAAAATGAACAGGTAGATCAATCTGCTTAATAAACTATATGTTGATTAGATTAAGAAACTATATGTCGATGTGTGTTTATAACATAATGAAATGGACTTCAGGTATGTGGCCTAATTGAAATAAGTTCATAACCTTTTATCATACTGTTTATTATACATGCGTCAAACTTTCCTGACTCGCCCCACTAATATCTGACTTTTAAAAAAAAGCTGCCATCACATGCCATAGGTCACTGGTCACTGGTCACTGGTCAGTCCAATAGATGTTAAATTGTGTCCATAAGTAACATGAAGAGAGCAGCCGGAGATGACCGGAGATTTACACTTGCACCATAAGCAATCATGCAGGAGTAACATAAGAAACACTTGACCATCAACCTTAAGTATCATGTGTCTTGGACAAAGAAGCAAAACAAAAGAGTTATAATTTACATTGACTAAGCCTTTAAAAGGTTATTTAAGATAAATTACATTGTGATTACTGTATATGATCTCTATGTCATAAATGGTCTGATATCTCCCTGCAAATGGTGTATGGGAAGATATCTGTCCTTTCATGACTACAACAAGTACAGCAGCCAGGCATTTCTGTGACCACGGTTTGCATTTTTAACCTGCTGTCATGGGACAGGGTGGCAGGGGAAGCAGGCTGGACTGTCACCTCACCCACCAGACCAGGGAGGAGGAGAGCCCATGCTGGAGATGACAGCCAGGGACTCAGAGAACCACGGATGGTGCAGTGTACTGGGCAGAGTGGGCTGAGCTGCCAGAGAGATGAGGGGACTGTGTAGTGATCATGAGCGCTGTGCTGTTATACAGAGCAGGAGAGAACTGTACTGTATGACAGAGCAGGAGAAAGTCTTGCAGGCTGACAACCTGAGGGAGACTGTGTAATGAGGTTGCCAAGAGTACTGCTGTGCGCTAAGCCGAGGAGAACTACAAGGTTGGTGGATTAAGCTGTATCATGCTGTGCTGTGACCAGTGAATCCACGTGGGTGTGAGTCATGGATGCAGGCATGAAAGGGTATGACCTCTCGCCAGGTCTCCCAAGGAAAGGACTGCTGAGACCTGAGGCCACCTAAACAGCATTAGTGGTGAGATGCCTTTTCGTCAACGTTATTTGTGGAAATCTCACTTGCTGGTTGCCTTGAGACTTTTCTGCCATATAAGAATCCAGCCTGAACACTTTGGGGAGTTTCCTTGTGAATTACAAATAGTCTTCATTTGAGAGTGAGTGCTCGAGCAAGAGTTATGGGCCCCATCGACAGCAGACTGTATATCGATTCTCCAACTGGCCAGTGGTGTAGGTAGGGACCAAGTAATATAGGATAGCCCATCTTGCTATTGGAATTCTTTGTTTATGTGGGAATTTTGCATTGCTACTGTCACTGCTGTTAAATTAACACAATTGTTCATTTGTCTAGCCTACTGCGTTAAAGCCAGTTTAAGAGAACAAATATCAATTGTGTTTTCGAGCATTTATATTTATTTTGGTATACTTTAATGTGCCAACTACACTGAGATAAAATATGTGTTAACATTTTTTAACTTACAGGGCCTTCTTACTCTTCTACATAAAATCCATTTAAGGCTACTGGCGTGTCCATGTGTTTTGGGTCCAGTTAGGGAGGGTCACCACTGGGAAGGGCTGGAGAACCCAACAGCTCAGCAGGTCCCTAGGAAATTATGGCTTCACATGCATCTTCATCGCCTTCCAATAATGCTAAACTAGGCAAGATGGCATATGGATAATATGAAATCTGGATAATGCAAAAGTTAACATAGATTTGTAAGTGTGCATGCACGCATGTACAACTTTTCACTTGCAATTTTAAAGTGTTTGCATTAAAAAATATACTTTGTGCCAGATGGTGACAGACTATGGGCTAAAATGTTTAACTTGTTGTGCACCCTTTTCCACACAAAAATTGTCAAAGACCCCTGGTTCACGCCCCTACATCTTAAACCCCCAAACCTTACAAAGACTCAGCACAAATTGGCAGTTTTTGTTCTCCTGGCTGCTAAACAAGCAATGGCACCAAGGTTTGGGACCCTTGGATAACATATGCCCACCCTGATATTCCTTCTGACAGTATAACAACCCTTTGATTGACCTGTTCTCGCCTGGGTGGTCCTGACGCTACCAGGCCTTTACTCTTGCCCTTTCTCTTTTTTTCTCCTATTCTCTTACTTCTCTGACTTTCCCTCATTCTCAACTTTCATCGTGTCGAGTCAGTGGATTGCGTTGGGAAACGTAATATGCTAATCTAATAAAGCCTTCTGTACTTGACTAATATTTTTCTATGCGATTCTTGTGCTGTTTGCATACTAAATTGTACGTTTTACTATTACTGTTAACATTTTATAAAAACTTTTGAAAGAAAAAAAATATATTCTTTAGTTCTGCTTTAAGCAGAGTAAGTGATTACAATGAAATCCAGAGGTTCCTTTAGGGGTAATCTACAAACTCCCAGTGGAAAAACAAGCATGTAAAAAAGTGGAGGTCATGAGGCCAGATTCTGCTAAGCTATGTTGTATACTCTTTATTTTATACCTTTTTTGTAGTGTACCTTGAACATTTGGTTGTATATTGCAAATTAAACTTGTCTTGTTTTATAAAACTTTAAATACAAAATTAATACAAAAAAATCCTGAAGTTAAACATTGCAGAAATAACTGTCCAAACATTTGCTGAATTAAAAAAATTACCCTTAATGTTATTAATTAATGTAATGTATATTAATAACATATTAATGTATATTGCTTCCTCTGTCCTATGAACTAGAAAAAGTATTCAATATTTTTAAAGTAGTAAGAAGAAAGGATACCTTTACAAATGACATTAACATTATAGTACCACTTACTTATCTCTTGCTATCTGCGATAGAGCTCTCCACACGATTAAATTTAGACGCCTGGTAATAGATACAAGAGATGGTTTGAGCAAACTCAAATTGATTAACACATTATTATTGAACAAAATGGGTTATACAAAGATGTAGACACTGATGTCAAAGCATTTCAACTCTTCCACATTCATAAAAGCTTGGGAATATAAAGTCCAAACATCTTTCATAGAATCTCAATCTGAAAGATTTTTCTCCTGTCACAGAAACTTTTAACAGAAGAATAAGAAAAGAATCTGTCTCTGAAATATATTCTCATCGGTAAAAAAATAAAAATCTTTTGTTTTCATTCCACTTAGATATGTGTGCAGATAGGGACTGTAAAGAGACACTTTATACCATACTGTATATGTAAACAATACTACAAGATGAAACCGCACTAGACTGGCTTTTCATAAGCATATTTTGGAAAGACCTAGTTCAACACTTCTGGATGATCTGACACTACATTTATTAGACCACAATACCAATGCTAATAAAACCTGTAAAAATTCCTGTTGATTTTTATACTCAATAAACCAAAGCAATTGTGTTATCACAGTAAAAATTAAAGAATGGCTTTCACATCTATAATATAAATCTATGACATTAGAAAATGATGACATTAGATTTTTTTTCCAGGAGCTTAGATTTTAACAATTTATGGCTACAGGATAAGTTTGGCTAAATTTTAAACCGTCATAGTCTCACTGGTCCATCACTACTCCAACAACTACTCATTTTGCTTTCTACTATCTGTGGTTCCCAATCAGGGACATATTCAAATATATATGTGTTATATGTAACCTCCAAGGAGTCAGTATTCAGATTTGGTCTCCTACTCTCCACTCTAGCCACCATTTCAGTCCCTGGCTGGCATTCTATGATAGTCCCATATTTTATATGTCCAACCTTCCTTTTTTGTTGTTGTTGTCCCTTATCACTATCCCTATCTTTTCTTCAAAAAAATTCCACTCTCTTTTTGTTTACCTATGCTGTTCCATGTCTTATTTCAAAACTTAGTATGAATCATTAGTATTAGTGAACAGCCCAAAAGAGCTTCATGTCTTCACAGCAATCATCCAAATAGAGACCTTATTTCTTTTCACGATATTCTGCTCATCACATTACTCCAATTTCTTCTTAAATCTACAAGGTCATTTTATAATGTTTATATTATTATCATACACGGTTTTCATTTTACATACTCACTTGTTCTGCATTATACATATTTGTTAAATAGTTAATAAAATAATACAGTTCCAAGAATCCAATATGATTTGTATTCCATTTGCACCACTTCATCATCTCATATTGTAGCCATGAAATTATCATCTACATAAAGAGATGAGAAAAGCACATCTCCCATCAGCCCTGTTATTATTTTAGGGTCACATGGGAAAGGCTTTTGGAAATCACTAACATTTTACAGCAGTTTGCACAGTCCAATCTAAAGCTCTCTGGATGTGATATAAGCTCCACTTCTGATACGATTTCATTAACATAATTACACAAAATGTCTGCTACGTGGATCCTAAAAAAAGTAACTATCTTCTGCTGAAAGAGTCACTTGGGACTTTCTGGAATGTCGTTTAAAGTACGTTAGGGATGCATAAAAGCCTCTTAAGAACAGCTTGCAGGCTACATTATCTTACCACTTTTTTCTAAATGCGATTTTCTGTTCTTCCTAGGGCAGATTGGTATACTATGGTATCAAAACTATTAGATTTAGGCCATCATCCCCATAAAAACATACAATATTGATTCATTTTATTAAAAATTGCTGTTCTTCCATTGCAAAGTTAACTTATAATGACTACTTGGCCCCCCACCCTACTTGTATGAATTTCCTGTTGATTGGTTGCTTGGATTTTTATTGGCTGACATGTTCACTTTATTTTTTCCTTGTATCATTATATAAAATAAAACTATTAAAATGTAAAAGTACAACATTTACAAATATAGCAAGGATAGTTTGTATGTATTTCCGTTTTCTCAGCTAGATTAAAGCTAAATTCTGGGCACACAAACTTTCCTTTAAATATATTTCTCAATAGCCATACAGGATATAAATCTACTTTGTGTGCACCAAATGCCTTTGCAAGCCCAGTTATTAACTTGTTAAAAGTAACAGTGACATAATGACTAAGCTGCAGTAGAATGGTGAGAGTGACTCGGCAGGCCCACCCAGTACAGACTGCCTGCAAAAAACTGAAAAACCAAGGGTCGGATACAAGACCTGTCACCCTTTACAGGGAGAGAGCAGCAGTGACTGGTCTAAATACAGGCACATAAGCAAAATTTCACACTGGATTACTTTGCACTTAACTTAGTGAATGAGTGAAGCTCTGATGATTTCCACCATCCAAACATCTGCAAGTCAAAACTACTGTATTTTTATTATCCTTGTTCATGATTGGGTATTCTTTGAAAAATTAGTTTTCACCACTTTCACTAAGCTAAGTCAAAATTCCCTTGCAAGTGCAAATTCACCTGAAAAGTGATCAGCCTATTTGCCTTCAGTAAATCAACCTCATAGCATTAACTAGGTATGCAAAGCTGATGTCTTTCTTGTTCTCAGTCCTGGTCCGTAGACATGTTGCTGTCTACACTATGCAATAATATTGTGCAAAGTGCAGCTATTCATAAAAGCCAAGGACATTTCAGTTTACTTTTGTCAGATCACAGAAAATGTCATTCTAATTGTTTGCAATGTATTAGTGCACTTTGCACATTCATCTTAAGGTGCCCATACACCTTACAATTATCTGCAGATTTTCTGTGGTCAGATGGAAAAAGTGCAACAGATTGGCCCAGGTGGAGATTACTCCATCCACACAGTTAAGTGTAGATGGAGGAATCTGTTGCACCTTTTCCATCTGACCATAGAAAATCTGCAGATAATTGTAAGGTGTATGGCCAGCTTTAGCCTCATTATACAAGTCTGCTATACTGTGTTTGACTTCTGAGGACAGGAGCCAGAAAGAAATTGTGTAAATGAATCCCAGTTGTTGTGCTGCATTGTCTAGTAAAGAGCATACTTAGGATGCAAAATGTACCTTTCATATGACTTAATTGCCTGCTCAAGCTTCTCCTTGTAGTCTGCGAGATTCACAGCTTGGGGATTAATTAATGTGATAAGTTTCCTGTTTCCACTTACGTGAGCCAAGGGGAACACCTGAAACAATTAACATATATTAACATTTGCAAATAAAAGACATGGCCTTTCATTCATAGTTTACCCAACGTATTATTATTTGTATAGTTATTTTTTACTTTTCAATATTCATCCTATTCCACGTTTTATAATAAAATGGGTGCTTATAGATTTGTTGAATTTCAATGTGACAGAACTATGGAGCCCACAATAAGGGCCAATTCACACCAGGGGCTGCGAAGCCACAACACACACAGACAAGGCTATTTAAATCAACACATCTGACGCCAGCAGTGTGAGCTGGAGAAAAGTACTGCATGCATTTTTTTTTCAGCGCAGCATGTTGTGATGAGGTAAAACTGCATCACGCCGTGCTGTGCCAATAAAACTTAATGAAATGTCAATCTTGCAATGCACCAGGATCAGGACATCAGCACAGTACCTATCTTCGCACACCAGCAGCAGTTAGGCCAATATAGCTATCTCAATGTTGTTTATTTAAAAATTCAGTTCTTTAAGGACTTAATGTATACCTGTAGCCAGAGTGGCCACAGGTATGCAATGTGTGCATGATAGTGTAGGCATCTCTCATTGGCTTCATGCAGTGTTATTTTAGTTTATTATTTATTTAAGTTTAACCCTTTTGCTGCCAAGAGAGGTACCGTATTATGCGACAGCTGCAGTTAGTGACAGCTGAGACAGGTGGCGCGGCCGTTCTTCGTCTGCTCTACGGGCTCTATGGTGAGCTCCTGTGCCGGGGTCCCCCCGAAAACCATGGCGGGGGGGGGGCCCCGGGCACGAAATTTACTTTTTTTTTTTATACTTAATTGCCATCACATAGGGGGGGCTTACAAACCCCCTGCGTGATAGCATACTAGTGGTGACAGATGCTCTTTAAGGTGGCATTAGGGGTCTACTCCACTCCAAAGAAGCTATAGGAGTGCAGATTGCAGAATAGCTTCTTCTCTGGCTTCTGCCACCGGGTAATGACAGCTGAAAGTGAAGCATTGTTTCTGGCTCCATTCAGCAGGGAGATCGGTAACACACATGTCTCTCTTCCCTCTACCCACCGACACCCATGATGTTGGTCCCGGGCCTGCAGGAGAGGCAGCGGAGCCCAGGAAGCAAGGCACACTACAATGCCCCTGAAGCGATCTAGTGGCAGCTCAGTGTAACACTTGAAGTGTAAAGCAAACAGTTAGCTTTACATATGTAAACAGAGTTCTGGCGGCTATAGTGTTTAAAGGGTCCTGCTGCCAGTGACATATGACTTATATTGGTGGCAGCAAAACGGTTAAAGAAACCTGGTTTACAGACCATTTATTTCAATGATACTCTTCGCATAGGATAATATGTGCATTTCACATTCTAGGCATGTTATTTACCTGTAAAAGCCTCGGTTGTATAGACATACAAACATCATGGGACTGCTGCTGTGCGCTACCATCTTGGATGTGAGGTCAACATTCTCAGCAGACTTTAGCTGGCCATAAACTGTTCGAATTTCAAAATTCAAGCAGTGTGCCGCTTTGGGTCCTCCCCATTCAACAAAAATATATTTTTCAATCAACTTTTGTCGAAGGAGCCATTCCAAAACCTCAACTGAACAGTGGCTAAAGCTGATTGGCCACTTGGGTATTCTAACATCACACCTGCTGCTGTCACATTACTGGTGGGGAAGTGGTGCTGAAGGAGAGAAAAGGACTTGTGTATGGCCAGCTTTAGAGCTGTCATTCAAGTGAAATGTCGTGGCACATTAGTGCCTGCGTTCCGGTTCAGTGCAATCTGCAATATTAGTGCTTGCAGCATTTTTGCAGATCGCACTAGACCGGAACACAGGCAGTAATGTGCCACACGTTCGGGTGATCACCCCTGAATGCAGGCAACCGACCGGAGGGCAATACAGTGCGTTCCAGAGCCTGACCGCTTTTGTGGTGTGAACCAGCCTTAAAGCCTAATTCACACCATCCTCAGTGCGTTCTGGCGCTATTGTGGATGGAACGTACTGGATTGCATTGCTTTGACTGGTGGATAGGAATTGTTCAGCGGTTAGTTAAAGGGCTGTCCCTGTTTTCATTTCGGAAAAACCATCCTGCCACTGGCCAATTTCTGTCAAACTCTCAGCAGCTACGGGCGGGGAGGGGCCAGTCAAACGTGCACACTGAAGAGAGGGAGGAGCAGCCGATGCCACTACGTGCGGGAGGCAATGATTATTGGACGCTGACGAAGATGGAGTGTGCGGACAAAGTGTCTCAGTGTCTGTGCGGGTAGAGGCGGCCACCTATGTTACGTGCGGTAGGAAAGGTTATTGGCCGCTTCAGACAGGAGGGGAGAGACAAATGTGTCAGATGCTTTAGCGTCTGACACATTCGGGTACACGGAGCGTGGGACAGGGAGTCGACCCGCGATCTACCAGCGATAGCTTTGCGATCGACTGGTAGATCACGATCGACCTTATGGGCACCCCTGTGCTACAGCATTCCCCTTCACTCTTCCCCCAGGCGTGGAGGAGTTAGGCTAGCAAAGACAGTAATTAGAGACTTCGGAGTGCAAGGAGGGAGGAGGCTATGATAGGAATTTAATTTTTATTAAGCAGTGAAATATGCCAACAGGTTCAAAGGAACATTAAAAGAGAATACAAATGTATGGAAAGGGAAAATGCTGCAAGTAAGCATTTAAAATACTTGATGTTCTGTGTTTTTACCTGCAATTTTTAAGATGATAATTGTAGTATAGAATTTCTAAATCGGCATATTAAAAAAAAAAGATATCAAGTCATTATCAATCTCTGTGTAAGCTGGTCTGTTGCTTGCCTGCCCTTGTCAGGGGAGTATTTGGAAGGGAGAGGTGGCATCAACTTGGAATAAAAGGCTCGCTGGACCAACCACTAACTTGACACAAAATATAGCCTCACATTTATACTTTAATCTTATCCAAACTATTTCTGCAAAAACAATGAATAGAACAATCATAAATGGGGCAGAAAAGACGGAAGGGCAGTTACAACACTACAAACTAGCAAATGGCGATGGAAAAACAGTAAACGGTGGACCGAGGACGCCAACTAACTGACAAGAATCTACCTGACAGTGAACCTGTATTAATCTGCTAGAAGAAATCTGGGGTAGAAGTCTATACGTGTTCATTTAAGAATTCATGCTGCAAAGTCACAATTAGAGCAACTAAAACATTTAATAACACATGTTATGGCCTGCTTTGACTGGTGGATAGGAATTGTTCAGCGGTTAGTTAAAGGGCTGTCCCTGTTTTCATTTCGGAAAAACCATCCTGCCACTGGCCAATTTCTGTCAAACTCTCAGCAGCAGGGCAAATGAAATAAGCATGACTAGGCTGAAATGTAGAGACAACTGGCACAGGCTGGTGTTTTCATTTAAAAAGTAAAAGACCATAGATGATAAAGCAGTGTAAGATTGGCAAGTGGCAGGACAGTTTTAATTAGGGAGATTAGCCCCAAACGGATGTATGTCTAACTTTTATTTTAGTATAGGATAGTGTTGTGAATCTGAATGATTTAATGTAAGGTGGCTTAGGTACTCACTGTTTTTGCACTTTTTTTCTTTTAAACAATGCAGTTGTGTGCTAAATACATCAGCCAGCTCCAAGAACAGATGGTCAGCAACCAGTAAATGCTGCACTTTGAACATCACAAATGTAAGAAAAAGGCCCCATCAATATAGAATTAAAAAAATACCCCAAAATAAAACACACAAAATACCACCCCCTATAACAAAACTTTTTTTTTTTAAGGAAAAATGTACAGCTGGTTCAATGACTGAAAGCTGCCCAGGCCCTGAAGCAGCAAAACAACTCCAAACCAAAACATTTCCACCACCTGTTCAAATCAAATATGCTGAAAAAGTCAACAAATCTAATGGGATGTACTTATGTTTTCACATGCCCATTTAGTATATTTGACTGTATATGTGTGTATATATGTAATATGTATATATATATATATATATATATATATGTGTGTGTGTGTGTGTTACAATTACGCTGGATACACAAAGCACTATGGGCTATGAGGTTCCTAAAGAGAGCACAGCAGAATCTGTTTCCTTTAAGGCACTCACTGAAACATCAGAAAGAGCCATTAAAAAAAGGAACGCATATCGCAGGTACTGAATCAATTTTGTTACCATTGTATTGCATTGCATTGATTATTGCTGCTCTGTACCAAAATTGACAATATCTTGTCCATGTTACATATTTTTGTACTATTGTTAAAATCTCAATAAAAAACATTTTGAAAATTAAAAAAAAAAGGAACACATGTTTTGTTTTGTTTTTAAATTGTTTCTTTTTTTTGTTTATTTCTGACCATAATAAATAAAGATATGAAAATAATAAAATATAATAAATAAAAATAATAAATACAGCTATTCCTCACTTAACAAGCCTACCTGTTTAGCAACCGCTCGCACTTACGACCACCTCTCCAACAGTACGTGTGGTAACGTGGCAGCAGAGTGCAGCATCTCACCGACTTTATCTTGCATACAGTACTGTTCTCCGTTCTCCGCTACTATACTTGGTAAGTACTGTATTTACAGTACTGTACATCTCCAACACTATAGTACAGTGCTGTACTAATACAGTACAGTACTATATACAGTTCCTCACTTAACGGCCAATTCGTTTAACGACCTGGTCGTAGGAACAGAACTTGATCGTTAAGTGAAGAATAACTGTAAAGAGAATAAATACTATACATTCCTTTTAAATTTAGAGTAGCAAATACAATCCATAGAATCCTAGTGCAAAACCTATTATGGGAATCTCACATCTCACACAACATCCTTTGTTGGTTTTGTCCAGCCATTGGCTTGCTAATTTCTAATAAAACAAGTACAGTTAGTTCTTCTCCAGGCTTAGACAGTGGATGGTGTGACAAATGTAATGAAAAGTGAAGTGTATAAAAGTTGAGCATAAATTTGATAAATAAGACAAAGTAAGTCTTGGGTTTCATCACCTCACTGGCACAGGCATAGCTTTGCCCT